TGATAATATCCTTCTTGGGCAGCGACTCACTCCGCAGCTCCTCAGCGCTCCAGGGCTGCGCCGGACCCGCCGTCGCCGCCATTTTCCCGCCCGCCACCACCTCCCCCTCAAGCACCGCCCGCCTTCCCGTCAGCCCCGCGGGAGCGGCCGCACGGGCGGGAGACGGGACCGAGGGGAGCCTTAACCCCCGGTTCACTGCCCTCCTGTCCGCCTGCTTGTTCCCGTGGTGGCTCCCGAGGGCTTTTCAAGCGGTGGCGCTGAGAAGATGGCGGGTGTTGTACCTCAGCGAGCGTTACCTCCGAGTGGGCGGGAGCCGCTCCTGGCGGCGGCGCCCTGAAGGAGGATGAGCGGCGGGCGGCAGTGCACTTTACCTCGGGCCTGGTGGGTGGCGGGCGGGAAGGCGCCGGATAAGAAGGAGAAGGAAGAGGAGGAAGCAGCAGATGCAGACGATGACCTGCTGTTGGCGGCGGCGGCTGCGGCGGCAGACCCGGACACGAGTCCTGTGGCGGGTTTCTGTGCGGCCGCGGGGTCCATTTGGATCTATCCCACGAACTATCCAGTGCGCGGCTACCAGGTGCGCATGGCCCGCGCCGCCTTGCTGGGGAACACGCTGGTCTGTCTGCCCACCGGGCTGGGTAAGACCTTCGTGGCCGCCGTCGTCATGTACAACTTCTATCGCTGGTTCCCCTCCGGCAAGGTGCTGTTCCTCGCCCCTACGAAGCCGTTGGTGGCTCAGCAGATGGAGGCCTGCGCCCGCGTTATGGGCATCCCGGCCCGGCACATGGCGGAGATGACAGGTAGGGCGGCAGCAGGGACCGGGACGGGCTTGCTCCGGGGAGCTACGTCCTCGGCGAGGCGGCAAACATCGAGGCTTCTTAGCTTAGAGGCAAGGGCAAACAGTGTGAAAAGCCCCAGTGGAGGAAAATAGGTCTTTTTTTAGGTTCAGAAGATTTTTAAGGCATTAACTTTAGGTTTTGCAACAGTTAAAGCCCCAGGATACTATTACCAACATGATGAAGTGTTGGAACGTTTTTTCTGGAGCTCTGGTGTGCCGCCCTGTGGTTCGCAGTGCCTTGCACAGAGGTGTGAATGCGCAGGAAATACGCTTTCTATGAAGCCAAGGAAGAACGGCTTTTTTTTTTTTTCTTAAAGTTTTTGCAAGCACCATACACTGCAGTTTATTGCTTAGTGAAGTAATCACCTTAATGGCTTAAAATAACCTATTGTTAAGTGCAAACCTTTCTCAAAGGTGGTGTAGATCAAGTATAAAACTGCAGGTGGCTGCGGGCTGTCTTGAGCCTCCTTGCCTTGTTTTCTGTGGTTCTGAATTTAGTCCTTTAATAAAAAAAAAAAAAAATCCTAGTCATTGTATCCATCTTTTTTTTTTTTTTCCCTGAAAATAGGACTAGCATTAAGGTGCTTGCTATTTTAAAAAGCACTCATTTCCCAAAGCTGACATGTGTCTGTCAGCCCTCTGCTGTCCTCTCAGGCCATGGCTTGTTCTCAGCAGAACTGTTGCTAACATTATTTCTTAAATTTCCAGGAGGTACCCAGGCTCTCAGTCGGAGGGATCTATGGACTGCCAAGAGAGTCTTTTTCCTTACGCCTCAAATAATGGTGAATGATCTTTCTCGTGGGACTTGTCCTGCTGTGGAGATTAAATGTTTAGTTATTGATGAAGCTCACAAAGCCCTTGGAAATCACGCCTACTGTCAGGTAACACAGGTTTTTAGTGCTTGTTTAACTTTGAATGGTGGAAAATTTTGTGTTTGGCAGCATTGCAATTTTCTTATATTGTTTTTCAGAACTGTGGCATTTTAATTTTCAAATAATTTAAGTTTATAGGTTATTTTGCTTCAAAATACTATATAAAAATCTTTTCTTAAAATACTGTTATGTTAATCACCCTCTAATACAGAGCCAAGACTTCTATTCATTAACTTTTGTGCTGTCTTGGATATAGGTGAGAAAAATCTTCTGTCCCCCCTTGTCAGTCCCCATGGCTATGAAGTTGGCAGTTCTGCTTTATCTGTGTGTTTGCATGATTTTCAGCACAACTATCAGCACAAATTGAATTCCTCTTTAGTCCCTGTTCACTTCTTTGTATCTTTTATGCTGTGTTCCATTATTTGTAGCTCTTTGGGTTTTCTACAACCTGTGCCACACAGGGTGGCTGGTCGGAGGCACGCTGTTCACTAATGGCACCGACAGAGTTCAGCTGTATGGGAACATGAAATAGGAAGGAAATATTGTTGTGTTGAATGCTCAGCAGCTATTGTACTTGTCCCAGGTCTTGGGGAGGGTTATAGAGCAAGAACATGGGAAGTCTAAGGAATATTTCACCATTTTCCCAGCTGCTAATGCAAGATTTTCAAGTGAGACTCAACTGAACGCTGGTTGGCATAGTGGTTGTCATCCAGTCTCTGTTTGGATTTCCCAGAACTAATTATCCATGATTTACTTTTGGCAGCCCTCTTGAGTCAGCATGCTGTTAATCTTTTTGCGAAATAAGTGAAAAATAATTTCATGTCTTAACCAAGGGTGTTCTGCTGAATGGGACTGGGGTAACACACTTCATCAAGATTAAGTGTTCTTGGATAAAACAGTTATAAACTGAACACTTTGTGCTTCCCATTTGACTTTAGATGTACACTATTTGGAACATTTTATTATTTTTTTTCTACTTTGTGGGTATTCTCATTGGTATAGTTTGTATACGCCAATAATCTCCTCCAAGGATATTGACAGCAACTTTCACTTTCTTAGGTTGTAAGGGAACTAAGCAAATACACAAATCAGTTTCGGATCTTGGCCTTAAGTGCCACACCAGGCAGCGACACAAAGGTGAGTCAGACCTACTTGCATTGTCGAAATAAAGAAGTTTCAGTAGAAGCTGTGTCTAATACCAGTTTGGTATTAAACTGGGATGCGGAAGTCTGTTAGAATTCCACATAAAAACTTACTCTCCTTACAAGCTGTTAGTTGTTAAGGGTTCACCTTTTCATATTATAGGCTTTATTTATTTCCTGACCTTTCTAAAAGGGAATAATACCTTTTTAAGCCTACAAACCTAGTTGAACCAAAATAACATACTCTCAATGCAAAATGGCTTTTGTATTCTGTTTGGTGAGATATATTGGGTAAAAATAAATGTAAAGGTTAGGTTTTCAGTCAAAGGCAGATGATCATCCAAATTGAGTTTAAGCTTCTAGCTCCAGGTTATTTTTCATCAGGTGTTTTATGATGCACCTGAAGCCAAAGAGAGAGGTCTGCCCCTCCAGCCCTCATGCCATAGCATGCTTTTTGCATTTATGAACTCGCCATATTGGCTCTTTGTGTACTGTTTGAGATCTTTAAGTGGAGAGTCTTTCATATTTCCATCTCTAGGCAGGAGCTACCTTTTCCTTACAATTGTATTCAAGGCCTACTGAAATATGGCAGTAATTGCTTTCCTGTGATACTAACATGCATTGTTGGAGTGTTTAGTAAATATAGTCTTTTTTTTTGTGTGGCTTCCCAAACAGGCTGTGCAGCAAGTTATTTCCAACTTACTCATTGCTCAGATAGAGCTTTGTGCTGAAGATTCTCCAGAGATTCAGCCTTATTCTCATGAGCGGCAGGTTGAGAAAATTGTTGTTCCACTTGGTGAAGAATTGGTAGGAATTCAGAATGCTTACATCCACGTGAGTTGTTGCACTTCTTTTGTTGTTAAATGGGCAGTGTCTTTAAATATATAATCTCCCTTCCTATTTTAGCATCTCTGTTTAGATTACCAATAAGTTTTAAAAGTACTACTTTCTGAGGCAATTCACCTTTGACTATAAGTTAAAGAAAAAAATCCATGATTGCAACTATAGCAGCTCCTGTGTCACTTTGTACCAGTGATACCTATTACCTTGCAATAACTTAAAAAGCCCTGGTGGAAAACTTACATTAGAATTAGCTTTCTCATCCTCTTTCAGGAGTCCTTTCAAAATTAAAATGAAACCTAAACTGGGGGTTTCTCAATTTGGCTGAGTTTAGTAGGATTAAGATGTTGAGAGTAGCCTTGTGAAAACTCTATATTGACTGAAGCATTTTCTCTGATTAAGAATATTCTGTAGATCTTTAGTTCACCTGTAAGGGTACCTAGTTCTCCTTGATTTTTTTGTTTGTTTTTTTTGGTCTTGGGTTTTTATTTATTTTTCTCTTGAGATTAATTTTTTTCTTTTTTACCAGTAGGTAATGTCCAACTTTAGGACAGATTAGCAGGGGCTAGAACTGTTGGCCATTCAATGATGACTTAATGGTCTTTGTCATCATGGTAAGGTATTGGTAGACAGATGGTGCTACATAAGATACTACTTTGAGAAGTTCAAAATTTATGTTTGGGGTTTTGTTTGTTTGTTTGGGTTTTGTTTTGCTTTTTGGGTTGTTTGTTTTTCTTTTTTGTAAGAAACATTAAAAAAGTAGGATTGGGTTAGTGTCAGACAGTGACCTTGGAGTATGCTTTTGGTTAAAGTTAAATGATTTTGATGTAGTTTGTGAAGACCATTGGAAGACAAACTTGTTTGTTCATTTTCTAGGTTGATTTAGGTCAGCTGTTTTCAAACCAGTCATTTAAATGAGGAAGTTCCACTGATAAAATAGAAAACCTTTAAAGATAGTTTTTATCACTATAGGTGCCTCTGAATGCTTGTACTGAGTGCAGGGATTTCATTTGAGGTGTTTTATGCTGTGAGATTTATGCTGAAATAAGCAGGTAGGTTTGGCTAAGCTGGTCTAATTGAGGAGTACAGACAGATGCTGACTAAATTGACATTGTGGCTTCAGTGGTTTCTGTTTCCTTTCTTTGATCTGGTATTTACATTTGTATTGCTACTGCTTTACCTAGAAAATACAACTTGTGACAGCACAGAGGGCGTCAAAAGATGGTAGCCCAGCCATTTCCAGTTTTTGAGGATAAGCCAAGCCTTAGCCTTAGAGACCTCAGCAACATGGCTTCTGTACTTCAATTTCTGTAGTTGTGCAGTTTCCTGCAGCACAGCGATGGACCTGGGCGATGCCCTGCACTTAAGTTACATATTCATCAAGTATATGTTGCGTTATCCTTGTCCCTTGACAAGAGAATCGGCTGTGAAGCATGTTCTGAATGGGATCAGGATCTCGGAGGAAACTCAAATACGTACATCACTCTTTCAGTACTGCTTGGTTTCTGTGTGATTCTGAAACCAATCCTACCCTAGTCTGTGCTGCAGTAAGGACTGTGGGAGGCTGTGCTTGATGCTTGACAAAAATCAGGTTGCAGATGGCTTCTGCAGTGAGGAGTAGCAAGTTTGCTAGCAGACCTGCTGGCTACAGCTTGTAAATGCATAGCTCCAACTGTACATCTTTATTTCAAAGAATGCATGGGGGTTTTAAAGTTAATTAATTTTGGGGGGGGGGGTGTCTTAGAGTGACCATTTCAAATTTGGGGCTTAAACAGCCTTTGTAAAATCAAAGTAGCAATTTGTGACTGCTGCTAGTCAAAGGAAAGACGTATACTTGTGTGTCTGTTACAAAAATGAAAGCCAGGTGTGCTCTGCACAATAAGATTATCTTTAATTTTGACAAACAGTAACAGTAAACAAGATGACATTCCAGTGAAAAAGGAGGACAGTGTAAAACACCACAATGCAACAATGCCAGAGAAAAAACCACATTTATATTTGTATACATACAATAAGCAAGGCCCTGAGTATCACAATAGCTGGAATAAACTTTTTAGGCACTAAGCTTGTTTGAAAAATACACAGTATGCAGGACAACATTTGTCTGTTAAGGCTATATCATTTAGTCTTCAAAAAATGAGTGAATTCTGTTTTATTATCTCTTTTGAATGGTGTCAATCTAATAACTTCAAATTAAAAATGACAATCCAGTAACTAATGGCTTACAAAGTAGAGCCACAGGTGGGTAGCAAGACCTATACTGATAACAGGAGTTAGATAATCGTGCTTGATATGACATTTTTAAACTTTCTGAAATGTTGGTTTTGAGTAATAGTAAATTTTCCTTGGCAGTCACTGGATTAACTGTTAAGTAAACTTTATTGTGTGTCAGTTAGAAACTGCAATTCACTGTGCCCCTGCTTGTGAGGAGGGCCGGTTACAGAAGTTGGTACAATGTTTCATATCCATACAGTGTATCTTCAAACTTGAGATTAATTGGTTCTTTATCAGCGGCAGAAGCCATCTAACGTAAATCAAAATCAATACTATCTAGTAATTCACAGTTTTACATAAAATAACATTGAACACTTTGCTGCAGTTAGGATATCAGCACATTCAGATAAATACCTTATTTTTATATTGGACTAACAAGAATGTACCTATAACATAGCCACAGCTAGCTGAGTCAAAGCAGTATTTAGGTGAAGATTGACTATGGAAAGAGACATAAAATACAGTAAATGCTTACGCTTTTTGCGGTACATGCTTAAAATGTAAACTAGATACAGCCTAGTACTGCATGTATGTACTGTATCAGTGTGAGAGGTGATTCAGCTACTTCAGTGACTATTTGATGTTTGCTGTGCCAAAGCATTAAAATGATTTCTCTAACTGGCGAAAGCAATCAAATTGCAGAAACTCTTTAATTTGCCATAAAATATTGTCAAAGGTGAAAATCGTTTTAATTTGCTCTTAAAAAAATCCTTGGGGTGAGGGGCCAAGGGCAAAACAAAACCTGTTATTTGATGGCTCCCTGGACTATCTGTGCAAATCAGTTTTAAAAAAACTTGTTGTTTTCCATTAACTTATTAGCTTTCATGTCAATACTGTCTGGAATTTCCAACAATCTGAGGAAATGTTAAAAATAAAAAGCAAAATAAATAAAAATCAAGCAGGAAATAATTTAAGATAGTGAAAAGGAAGTCTGGGTTTTTTGGGGGGGTGGGTTGGTTTTTAATTTTTGGGTGGTTTTCGTTTTTTTTTGTTTGTTTTTTTTTCTTTGTTTTGAGTTTTTTTGTTTTGTTATTAAATATCTTTCCCCCTCCCCCAGCTATGATCCTGTATCTTGGATAAATTGAGAGGGATAAAAGACATGACAAGTACCTTCATTGCCTTGTCCTTAAGAAGGAAATACTTTGACGTGCATTTAAATTGGCACATCAGACAAAGTGATTCCTAGTTGTGGCCACAACTGGCACAGCTTTTGTGCTGTCACCTGGCAGACCAGATATGAGAGCTTTCTGTTTGGAATAAGAAAGGTCCCAAACCCACAAATATTTTTGTGATCCCCTCCCCCCATCAGTTTATCATCCAGTTGATTTGTGGCCATACAAGTGTTTGTGCTGGGCTAGTGCAGGGTATCTGGACAATCAGGGATAGCAGACCTTCAGAAGATGGTGGTGATGATTGCTTTTTAAAAATAATTTTCTTTCCCCACGAAGACTTTCAGTTTGTTTGCATTAAAACTAAGGCTCTTCTCTCTATCCATCCCAGTCCATGCCCTCCCTTCTCCTTGTTGTCTTCCTGAGGACTCCGTGGGCAGCAGCCACTGGAGGGAACCTTGGTCAGGCTTAGGGGTGCTCAGCCAGGGCCAGCCAGCACTCTATGATCCTGCTGCTCTGCCAGTGGGTTTAGGTTAAGCATAAAGCCAATTTTGTGCAGCAGAGTGCCTTGTGGAACCAGGAGACTTAAAGTTATTGAGACCTTCCTCATAATGGACTACATAAATCCTGTTTGTTTGCCAATTAACTCTACCATAGGCTGGCAGACACTGGCTCTGGTTGTTGTTTTGTATGTTGTAACTGAAGAACACAAAAGCTCTATTTAAAGCCTAAATCCTGTAATTGGCAAATAATTCTGATGCTGTACTAACTTTTTTATATAAAAAGATGTTTACTTTTGTGAAGTGTGAAGATTAAACTCTACCATCATATCTGCAAGGGGAGACATTAAAAAAGGTTTTCTGAGAGCAAAACTGATTGTTACCCTGACTCTGAAGTTTAAGAGGTGTTCTGTAACTGTAGTAAACAGCAAAACACAAATGCTGCTTTCAGACCTTCTGATGTGTGTAGGACTTCGTGAGCTTGTCTCGCAGTCACAGTGTGCTAGACTAGCAGTTGTCTACTTGAATAATTACCATATGGATGAAGGGTAAAAGAAACAAGCTGTGACACAAGAAATTTAGCTATCAGAAATAAAAAAAAGAGTTTCACAGTGAGGGTGGTCAAATACTGGAACACAGGGCCCAGTGGGGTTATGGGCTCCTTGTCCCTGGAGATACTCAAAATCAAATTGTGAGGCCCTGGGCAGCCTGCTGTGCCAGCAGCACTGGCCTCTCTTCTGGATCAGGTCAATGACTGGGAATTTCACGTGTGATTCTGTGAAATACTATGTTATTTATAACATTAATAGTGTGGAATGGCTAGAAGAACACAAAAAGTACAGAACAAATTACTTCAGCTGCAGTGTTTTAACATTCAGCAAAATTGCAAGAAGAAAGTGTTCAGAAAACTGAAGTGATAGGAATAACCACTTTCTATTTAAGAATGCCAGATACAGTAGTGAGATTACTCTGAGTGTGTGATTAAGGTAACCTGTAACCTTTGCTATCAAATCTTTAATGAGTATTAGGGCTATTCTGCTACCTCAGTCTCATCTCAAGATTAAAAGTACTTTGGTTGAATGCTTTTTGAGGTAAGCATTAAGAATATCTGCTTCACAGATGAAGACATTCAGAGCAGTCAGTACTGGCCTACTCTTAGTCCTTGGTTTAATCCCAGTGGTCTAAACCTGGTAGTTCTCTTCTGAAATGAAGACCTGAATGCTCTTTTTCCAAAGCAGAGCCTACACATATGAGGTGGCTTTCATGTGTCCCATGAGCAGCCCCAGCAGGGTCTCTGTGCAGCTGATGCAGTACCAGGTGCCCACAGCAGGCCAAGGGCTCCCGAGGGCTGTCCCAAGCCCCAAGCAGTCTAGGGATACTAGAAATTGATAAGGAGAGAGGTCTCTGCCTCCCTTATCTTGTAAAAAAAAAAGACAAAAAAAAAAAAGACAAAACAATAAGGTGAACTAGCTTCTAAAGTGCTACAGATCTCCATAAAAATAGTGTAAAAACTGTAAAAGCAGACATGGGAAAGTGTGTGTGTTTTGGGTGTTTACCTCTGTTGAATTATCAGGTTGGAGTGATTACCTTGCTAACCTGGCTAAAAAACACATTGTAAAATCTTTGAGGGTTTGATATTTAGTCTCCTGTAATTCACCTGTAAGATTCTGCCAGTAAATCGGAGTTGAATCTTGTGACTGACAAGCATCAGGAATGGGAGGCTATGGTCTCTGAAGGAACCATATCTCATTGTGCCGATTGGCAGCAGCTGGATTTGTGTATCCTGCAATGATGAATGTATCCTGCAAGCATAACTCAGGGCTCTCCAGAATTTCCGCCAACAGGTTTATTTCTCTCATTATAGAGTCTTCATTGGTGATTCCTCTGAAGCTCCTGTAACAATCAACTGGATATCAAGTTCTTTTTAAAATCCACAGTTTTTTTTCCAGGGTATAGGAATGTCTGTTCTAAATTAGTCACGTTTTACACGTGATACTACTTAACTGTTGCTGATCTTGAACAGCAAACAGCTTTTTCTTAAAATTTCAGTGATACCTCAGGTGCTTTGTTCCCAGTTATGCAGAGTAGTCTGTGTTTTGACATGCTGTTATAGCTCACATTTACATATGCATTGTTTTATCAAGTAAGCTGGTAACCATTAATTCCTGACTATCCCTGTTTCATAAAGCAGGCAGCTTTTAACAATTACTGAAAGCCAAGTTTTACTGTTTGTTAGCTTTTAGAACTTGACTGAGAAGATGTAATGTGCCCAAATTGAAAACTGCATCTCTTTACTGATTTTACTATAACAAAATTAAAATGTTTCTTACCTACTATAAACGATAGTAGAAGGCCATTCTTCAATGATTATGTCAGAGTCAAAAGGATGAGGTGGCTCATCCTGCAGCAGTTCGGGCAGGTAGTATGCTACTGTCACTGACTGTCTCATCTCAGATTGAGATTCGTTTGTATGAACTATGGTCACAATGGGTATTGTTATCCCCAAGTACAGTCCTGAGGAGACAGACAGGAATTTAGTAGGATGTTTTAGAAAATGGAGTTGTGTATTCTAACTTGAAACAAGCATTTTATTATGCTTTGTAGTTTGTGTGTATATAGATGTAAAAAACCTACATGTGCAAATATGTGTGCCTGTGTGTATAGAAAGTAGTATTTTGTGAGCATTCCTGTCTTCATGTAAGTCAGGGAGTTTGACTTGTTTCTCCCTCAGGAGATGGTTGTGTTTATCTTGTAAACTGACCTTGTGTTGCATTTTAAATATTTCCGAGCAAAGAACAACATAGGAAGTAAGATGAGGGGGCTGCATTGTGAATTCATTTAGGATTTGCAGTTACCTAAAAATGTTGTTGTATTTTTGCAAAGCTGTAAGAGAAGGTTGACTGTTTTGCCTGTGCAATAGCAGTGATGACTAGGAGTGGGAACTTTGCTTCTGTACACAGTTTGAGAACAAAACTGCAATGTTCTGTTGCCAAAATTACTTTTAATCCATATCAAAGTGTTAAAAGAATGGGGAGAGTGGGGGAAATACCTAACTAAGGAAGAGCTTGTGTGATCGGTATTTCTGGTTTCTTGGAAAGAGGATAAAGGGTTGACTTGATTACAGCACATGTACTATTACAGAACAAACCACTGTGTGTTGCAAAACTTCTGAATCAACTGGAGAATGGGGAAAAAAGTGATGTCTGGAAGCTGAAACTAGATTAAGACAGATTGGAAACTAGGTGCATGTTTGTCATGCAGGCACAAGCTATCAAAGACATGGTGGACTTGCTATTGTTTTAAAGTACTTGAGTTAAAACTGGGTTATTTTTTTGAAAACAGGCTGCAACCACATGCTTTTTTGGTGTCCACTCAGACACGCAGTTGGAGAATCATAAAGTAAAATAAGGATGCAAAATATTATGGTCTATTTTGTCTTATGCTCTGAATACGTTCTTAGAATAGACGATTTCAGCACTGATGGGAAAACTAACCCACTAAAATTCCATAACAAAGACCTAATTTATAGCTGACAGCCTACAGAAATAGCCAGTGACAATTCCCAGACAGTTGTGGTGGTGGCAATACCCTAGAAACAGGGATGGTTTCCCACATATGTTTGCTTCTTGTCTGTACGCAGAGGGAGCAGCCCTTTGGTTCAGACTCTGCTGCAGAGGCTGTTACAGGGAACTGTCCCAATATACAGGATGGGGTATTTAGAAAAAGCACATAAAAGTCTCCCAGATTAGGAGGAGGTAGTGCATAAACATAACATTTTAACATGAATGTGGAATTGTGGTACTAGTTACCTGAAGAGTTCTGCTCACAAATGTATCTCATCAGCTTCATGAATCCAAGGCATATGCTCTGTTCGTACTGTTTCTCTTTCATTTTTATACAAGCCCATTTGGCTTTTCCATACTGACGTTTTTCATAAAGCAGATCTCCAAGCTGCAAACACAGTAAGATAATTTTTAATTGAAGTTAATAATCTAACCCCCTGAGCAAATAAAAATCAACTAGTATTTCAGTGCTTTACTTACAGCATCAAGACATCTGCTTCTCTAGGTGTATGACCATCATGAGTATGATTTTAAGTCTATGCCAGCCTCTACCTTAAGTGCATACTTTTTAACAGTTTACTTGTGCTTCTTTTCGAGCTACAAGCTGGCATAAGTGTGCATCCAAAACTAATGCAGTGTGTGTCTCTTACAAGAGTAACTGCATCTTTTTTCAATTGTCAGTGAAACGATCTTGAAAGGAAGATGTGAATTTTAAGTCTTTCTCATACACATTGAGAGGGGAGATACTGCTGATTTTGGTCCAGAATTTATTTCAACATACTTCTAGGCAGTTCTCCTTTAATATAAGGAACTGTCATCTTTTGGACTTATAGTGTTGTCCTGCATGAATTTAATTGCAGCAGTCAGGAGTCCCAAACTGTTTAGATAAAATACACTCAATCAAATAGAGATATTTATAAATTTGCATTACATGGATTTATTTACAATAAATGTGACAAGAAAACTTGATATATGGTTAGTAAAGGTTTTCTTGTTTTGTCATGTATTTAAGGATAGACACTTGTTTGCATACTTCCTGAGAGGTAAAAAATTTGCTGGGCACCAGTTTCTGTTTTCATTAGAGGATAAGATTGTTTTGGTAAGATGGGTTGACAAATTGCTGCTTTGTTTGGTTATAACCCATCATGCAAAAGTACGTGCTTGGTTTTAAATTCAGATATTTATCTTTTTCAAGTACTTTTTGCTAATGTTTTATTAACATGAATGTGTAAAGAAGCAAATGTATTGATTTAAATGAAGGAAACAGGAATATAAAAATATGAGGTGTCTTTTGGTTCAGTTATTTAGAAAATGTCACAAGTACTGTAATTCCTGACTATCTTCTGGCTTTCCCAAGAGTTAGAATGCTTTGCACTTATGATTTTAAACATCCTAAATGGTTAAAGTAACTTTATAAAGAAACATACTTTTGGAAACTAGATATGCATACTGAAAACGCTGGAAAAACTTCTGCTGGGGAGGGAAGCAGTACCTTTTCTTTGCGCTGGATCAGAGTAAATGGGATAGTCTGTCTCTCCTGCGGATTGTTATTTCTAGTCAGCTGCTGAATTGGCTCTGCCATTTCTGCAACAAAATAACATTTCTGATTTCAGTCATCAGGCTGGAGAAATAAGGATGAAATGCATTCCATTCTTTCTCTTAGCTAAACTTCAGGAGACTTTGTAACAATTTCAGTTCAATTTTGATAGAAAAGGTTAACTGGCTTCTGTTTCTGTGCTATTAGGAACAGATTCACTCTCCCACTCCTCATTTATTGCAATTATACAGGCATCCATGGAAAGCTTTTGGCAGTGACTGGTTTTCTGGATCTGTGCAGATGATGCTGCCCATTTCAGAAACTCTTTCAGTGTTGGATTCATGTGTATCCACATGAGGAAGTAAATTGAGTTTGCTGCTCTCATTCACATGTTCAAAGAAATACTACTGTGGAGGCTGCATTTCCACATAGTGTTTTATGCCCAGTATTTTACTTCAGCATTTGGTATTATGCACATTTCATCATTAATCATCTGGTGTTACTTCAGTGGAGGGCCACCCAGCTGGTTAGGGCAGGATGAAGCATAGGAGGGGCTGGGAAGACCTGATGTGCTCACACTGGTGGGGAGGAAGTGAAGGGGGGGGGGGGGGGGGGGGTGTTGAAGTGCAGAAACTGTGTAGATGAGGGAGGGGAGAAGTGTCCTGTTGAAATTCCTCAATGTATACTTCATTGAAGAACCGTATCTTAAAAAGATACGTGAATGCTTAACAAAAAAAAATAGAACGTAGATTTGTATTACTTGCTTTTTGTTACAAATTAGTTTTATGCCTATGTACTGTCTGATTAGACACCAAATACATTAGATGAAAGGTTTTATTTCTGTTTGGAAGGGACAGAAGACTGTTGACGTAGAATAAATATTAACATTCTAGAAAAATTGAAGCATAACTTGTATAAAGGTGGGAGTAGAGCAAAACAAGTTTCAGTGTTCTTTTTGTCAGGTTCCATTGCATATAACAGAAGAACATAGAGCGGTTCAAAATTCTCAAATAGTCACAGTCACCATAAAGCATTGGTAAAGATAAAATGGGATGCAACATTATTTGGCTCATAAGGACACTGCTTTGCATGCTACTTATGCTTGCTGTTGCCTGGTGTCTTGCTCCTTGGAGCAAGAAGGACTCAAGAGCACAGTCTGACATGTATTGTCACCTGTGGTCTGAATGTGCACATTTTGGTGGCGGATCATTAGGTAAAGGAGAGTATTAATTGTTGACTGTTACTGAAGAAATCTAAGCACCTGCATGCTCCCTTACCAGTACTGGGATGGAGCTGAAATGTGCAGTGACTTTTCGAAAGATTCTCACGCTTTATAAGAAATGAAGGAGCAAATCTCTCCTGTTCCCAGGTGTAGTCACGCTAGCAATGCTTCTGTCTGTATTAACCGTTACATTTCCCAGCCAAACTCACATGGATAGAAGGGGCAAGTATATTATACTTGCATAGATGATACTAGCCTATTCTAGTACTTCTAGTTTTGTCATTTAAATATGATTGGGTTAGTGTATTTGCAACTATGGTTGCCCTGACATCAATTCTAGCTGCAACTCAGAAACAAATTCTGCTTAAAAGTTGATCCCTAACAGACAGGCATTGAAACTCTGAATATAAGGTTAGTCTTAAGAATGGAAAGCCTCTCTTCTAGAAGAGTTAGTCCCTTGTTTGTCAAAGTTGAAGTAATACAGACATTTGTGTACTTTGATAGAGGATTAGAAATTTGAATCTTCATGTGTAGTGTTTGAAAGTGCGGAGGTGAATTTCTGTGATATATATTGGACATACATTCAATGAAATAAGAGCCTTTCTCTTAGGTGTTTTAACTGCCTCCGTGTTTTCAGTGGAAAAGGCAGGATGTTGGAGGAAGAAAGCCTTATCCATGTTTCAGAGAAGAGAATTAAGATGCAGTAGAATTAACCTGGTTGCTTAATATATTTGTAGCTGAGCTGGTAATCAAACCTACATCCCCTGGCATTCAGTGCAGGGGTTTTAGCATTAAGACAATTTGGAGTAGTAAAGATCCTTTTAATAAAGGGGAGAAAGCTGCACTTCAGTTAATTTTATTTTTTTTTTTAAGTCATTGGGAAAGTTTTAAAATGTAAGTAATAACTGACTAAAATGTAAGTAATAACTGAAAGTTGAAAGTAGGTTAGACTTCAGCACTGAATTTTCTGCAGAGAACTAGTAAACACTTTAGGATTCTAGAACAATTAACTCTATTTTCATATTCCTTTACCAATAAATATGGGGAGGTGTTATATTTTTCCTTTTTTCTTCCATATTAATGCATGGGATAGGGGGATTACAGTTAAAGTCCTTTCAGGAGTTTTATTCTTCAGTTGGCGAATCCGTGTCTGTCAGGCACAACAGTATAGTATTTGGATTAGAAATATTTTAACCTGCAAAATACTTGAGATTATACTGCCCAAAAGCAAATGAGCTGCTTGGTTACATGTCATCTGTCAGTCCCCGCTTGCAAACTTGAATACTGGTGTGACTAAAAAGGCAAGGGGAGTTGTAGCCATGTAGGTAGGTGAAGGCTTGATTTAATTACATTTCAAACTTGTAATGACAGTTGCTACTATGGGTATTACGAATGAGGCAAATCTTTACAAAGGGATATATATAGGTGAGGCATGCTTGACAAGACACGTTCATAGCAGCAAGACTGAGCAGTGTTTAAATTGTGGCGTATCTTAATTGATGTCTAATTGGACCTGCTGGGAGTCTGACTGATGTGAGATGTACTTGTCAGATGTGCCCTTAATAATGTACATAATGTACAAAGTTTATACAGAACTTTGTGATTCTAGAGAAGAAGACAGCCTTTGTAATGCAGAGAACCAAAATCTTCATGCTGAAGAGAATTGCTAGAACTGCACCTTGGAGAGAAAGAGGTGCGTGTGGCGGCAGGCTTGGGGCTGGATTTCAGTGCAGTGACCCAGGGGGGGAGACTCCGTTCCTTCCATGCACGTTTCCTGCAGCAACTTCCCTGAGCTTGTTTGTTAATGAATGTTCTTGTGTAGAAACTAGAGTTAAGGAATTTAAAAGTAACCACTGTAGTATGTTTTCTGCATACTCTACATACATAAAATGGAGTTTTCAAGCCAAGAAAGTTAGGTTATACCTTTCTGCACCCTTTGTTTTTTTTTTTTACCTTTTTGTTGCAAGGTTTGGCATAGGTTGGTCAGTCTTAACAGGATTAAGATCCTGTTAGCAGAGTTAAATTGCAATGGCAGCCATATAGATTCTTGTTGTTCACATCTCCCAAAGGCTTAGGTTTTTATTTTTTTAGAATGCTTGCAGTGTTGCTGTTAACTGTAAAAGGTGCTAACAAGCTACAAAGCAAGTCACCTTTTTGAAAGGTATGCTGTTGAATGAATTGGGTATAAAAGCCTGTGGCAGTGTGGAACTATTGATGAGAGGGTTGGCAGTGTTCCTGTTTTGCAGACTTCACCACTAGACTACAGGAGATGCAGCACTTGAGACGTTAACAACAGGATGTGAGTCTGCAGTTACCAGACTGGCAGTCAATAGCCAAGTAGATTTCTTGTATTTTCTTATTGTGAGTCCAGCAGCTTGGTTGGGGCACAGTAGTCCAGAGTGGCTGCCTGCTCCTGAGTGCCAGGGAGGATTTCTCCCCTGAAAAGTCCTATTGCCTCTCTGTTCCCTGAGGCTCAACTACACTACAGCTGACTGGATGCTAAACAGAGATACTAACAAATTACTTGAACTTTGACTGGAACATGTGAACAGCCTAAGGGTTTGCCAGATTGGTTTCACTTGAGATGTAACCAGCTCTTCACATGCAGCCCTGAACAGAGGCTGAAGGAAAATCTGTTCAGATTTTTGTAAAGATTGCTTAGCATTACAAAGTAAACCTTTTATAATACAGTAACTAAAATGTGATAAAATATTACTTCTGATGTGTTTTCTAGAGTTCAGATCTTGTCTAATAGATATTGGGAATTTCAATCCCTCGTTTCATGTATTGGAATATCAGATCGTTCTATGGGAAGGAATTTGGTTTTCTTATACACAAAGCTGCTCTTGAGGAGCAGCTTAGTGCCTATCTGTGCATTAAATTAGGAGCCCCTCTCCTTTCCTAGAAGGTGAAGCTGTCAGGTTTGATGCACTGGTCACATGCAAACCCACAGCTGTTGGGGTGTGTATTTGAACTCCATGGGGTGACACCACTGTTGTGGGGCAGCCCAAGACCCCTCCTCAGGGGGCAGGGAGAGCAGGGCAAGCCAGTGAACTCTGTTCAGACTTTCTTTTAGTACCTGATGGGGTGTTAATTTTCATTGTTAAAACATTAGAAAGAGAAGATAAGGCTTCTAGGCATGACTGAAGAGGAGGCTGTACCCTCTTTGTTATGTTGGGATATAGAAAAACTTTTTGAGTAACAGTTGTTTCACGGTGGTCATATGTAGTAGTACGTTGCTCAAGGCTTTACTGCTTCCTGGCCTCTGAGAAGGTGAACAGGGGAGATGCTGAAAACCGACCTCTTGCTTCTGGGCAGGACACAAGGTAACTTGGAAACTCACAAGACTCCCAGTGAGCTAAGTTTCCAGTTACTCTGCCGCTTGTTGTAAGTTATCTGACTGGTTACAGGCTTTCAGATTCTTAAGTTTTTCTTAAATTGAAAGTAAACCATTTCCGAATTAGACAAGCCTGGGAGGCTTACTGTCAGAAAGCTAGGTCAATCCTTTTACTTGTTTACTCTGCACTGTCTTTCAGTTCAACCATCTTTAAAAAACTCAGTAATCATAAAATCATAGATTGAGGTTGGAAAGGACCTCGAAGATAAAGTGGTCCAACTAACTTTTGGAACTAACGTTTTGGAGAGGTGCAGGAGATACTCTTAAGAATGTTTTTGCATGTAGTCAATTTAATAATTAATGCTTTTTCGGGTAGTGATTAAATATTAAGAAGAATGGTTTTGTAGGTAGTCATTTAAATATTCAGACTAAAATCTCACATCAGTTCTTTTAAGTATAAATAGGTCAGTCACCTACTACATCTACTTCTCTCGGAAAAGCCTCTCGAATTGCTCCGCGCAAAGCTTTGCTCAGACTTTATGCCTCGGAAGCGTACAGACCTGCAGTGGGATAGTCATCTCCCTCAGTCCTGGCCCTCCCCGGGGGGATCGCGCATCCCCCTGTACCAGCCGTGCCCGGCTGCCCCGCGCTGCTCCCGGCCCTTCCCCACAGCTCTCTGGGGCCACCAGCAGGGTGCCGGCCCCGAGGACAAGCTTCCCCTGGTCTGCGGCGATCGGGGAGGCTGGCAGAGGCTCCACCACTGCCGTCCGGTGCCCCGCGCAACGGCCGCGGGGCTCCCGCCTAGGAGCGTTTCGCACGGGGCTAGAGGGGGACACCCAGCGGCTGAAGGTCAGGAATAGCCGGGAAGGTTACGGTATCGGCAGGTAAACTCAGAAATCCCGCCTCCCTAATACCCCTAAAGCCCCGCCGGCTGCTGAGGGCGTAAGCGGTTTAGCCCGGCCCGACCGCGGCGCGGCCCGGACGTCTCTTACCGCGGGGCACGTCCACCTGGTGCCCCCTGCCCACACTCTGCCAGTAGCTCAGCAGCCGCTCCTGCTCCTCGTCCTCCATGCGCTCTGCCGCCTCCTCGTCCGGGCTGCTGCCGTTGCTGTGGTACGCCGAGTCGGCGCTCTCCTCCGCCATCCCGTCCAGGTCCTCCAGCGTGATCATCGCTGGGGCGCCCGGCTCCGCGGTGCCCATGCGGCACCCTCCCGTCTCCATCGCGCCGGGCCAGGAGGGGAGCGGAGCGAGCTGGGCTGGTCCGGGCTGGCCTGGACGCGCTGCCGCCGCCGTGCCGCCTTATGAAGGGCTCTCCCTGCCCCGGGATTTGCGGGCGGGCGGGGAGCACTGACACGCGCCGGGGCGGCCCCCGCCGAGGGAGGGATGGACGGAGGGAGGTACGCTGGCCCCGCACTGCCCTCCCGCGCGGGCTGGCAGAGCACGGCACTGCCAGCGCGACTTTGCCAGCCAGCCTGATGCTCTGTAGGTTCGCCCTTGGTGTTGTAGGATCCAAGCAGTGTAGATCTCGAAGTTTGTTTCGTATGTTTTTTCGCTGTTAAGTCTCTTTCTTAGCTATTTTCTTCATCATCTTTTTCTCCCTGCTGCTCATCAGGTCCTGTTAGTCCTTCTTTATTGTGACTTTCTTTTAATGTTTTCAAATAAAGCTTGAAATACAAGTTTTTCACTTTGGGAGTGTCTGCGAGGTCATTCCAAACTGGCTCCAGCCTGGAGTGCAAAAGCCATGGGTCATTTCATTATTGGAAGTCGAGCGCTACATGATTTTGCCATTGCTGAGGCAAACCTCTCTGAGAAAGAGGGGCATGAGCAGACCTGTCCTGTGGATGGCTATGACAATTAAAGTAGGATCTGAATTTGAATCAGGGCTCTATGTGGAGTCTGTAATTCTATTTGTAGTTGTCTTTCATTACAACTTTCATGTGAAATAAGTGGGCAGGCAGGAAAAGGGAACCTCTGAGCTTTTAGAATTTTAGGATAATAGGAAAATAGTCCTCTCATGTCCACTAGTGAGATGCTTGCAGGAGGATACCAAGGGTTAGGGGTATAACTGTGATGTGATCCTTAATCTCTCCCCCTCCACTTTTATTTTCTTTTCTGACCAGTATCTTTCAGCTGAGGTTCCCCGAGCCTGATCCTGGTGTGAAAATGAAGTGTTAATTGCCCCAGAAGCCAGAGCTGTGCAAGTCCTGACTGCACACTTCTGACAATACAGGTTGAAATCCTGCCGTTCCTATGAAGTGTTTCTTCTGTTAGTCAAAGCTGACCAGCCAAGGACTGTTGTTTCTTTGAGAAATACAGGAGCAACTACCAGTCGGAACATCTTGAGAGAACAGTCTTAACCTAGTGGATTTAGCATGTGGGTATGTTTTGCAGAAAAGTGGGATGCGCTGGGTGCAGCAGGTGAAGCAGATAGTTCTACTGCAAGGATGCTTGGCTTCTTATCTGTGGGCAGTCTGTCAGCATCACAGGCGCTTCTCTGATCTGAAATTCACTGAGAAGGCAAATCCTTGCCAAATGTTGGCAATAATGCTTTAGGGTTTGGTTGGGTTATGATTTGATTTCAAGGTCAACTACCTAGTGTACAGAATTGCAGGATTCATTGAAATCATGCTGAAGCACTGTATTTTCTGACAGTTACCTGGTTTTCCTTGCAAAAGGAAGTTCCTTGAACTTCCCTTGTGGAGCAGCTACATGGCCATGGGTAGGTACCTTGAAGGAAGGCACAATGGGAATCAATCCGTGTCACAGGTAATGTCTAATCACACGTTGGTACAGTGCAAACAGTGGCTTCACTTTTGTGGGAAAGGTATTTTTCATGCAATTTTGGAAGTTGGATTATTACTACCAAGTAAGGGCACCCTGGCTCTGGGTGATTTCTTCCAGGAAACTGTTTTTTGAGAAGAGCTGGCCTTTTGAGGCCAACCTGTAGAGGCTCTTCTGCTGCCTGTCCTGCAGAAATAATTCTGGCACTTTCTCATAGAAAACAGCCTCACCTCATTTGTTCAAGCAGTAATTGTGCAAATGGATAGTTGCTAATTATTTCTGTTGAGAGGATTGCTAAGCCTTGTTGTGGAGATGGGGGAAAAAACTCAGGAAAAAAAACAACAACCAGAAGAATTGTCTAAAATCACAGCTAAATTTCTCTATTTGTGAGAAATGCCACCAAGTTTTGACTGGCTACCTGTGCAAAAGAGACTGGTGGGAGCTTCAGATCATGCTTTAAAGATCTACTGGCACAGTAGATCTTTGTGTGTGTGTATTTTGTTTGCCTTTAGTTTGTGATATGCTTAGTAATTACAGGCAAAGGGCTGTGTTTGATAGAGTACTGAAGAAGATGTTCTCTCAGCTCAGATAACAGAGTAACTGTTACAGGAGTTGAACAAAGCCATTTGCTATTGTAATTTCATGTGTGACTGTTGGCTGATAGTCACTCTTGACATAATATGGTTTTGGTAGTTTGGTATTCTTTGTGCTTTCCTGGCAGGTTCTATTGCTGAACATAAAAGAAAAACAAATACTCAGCCTTGCAAATTGAGGATATGAAACATCCTCAGTACGATGCTTTCTGTGCTGTGCAAAGTGATGACATTTCCTGAGTGGCAGATGGATGTAGAAAAAAACACTTCCTTCTTACAACTTTGCAAGTTAAAGAGTAAAAATATTCTCAGTGAAATTAGTTGAAAGGTAAAAAGTGCAAGCCTGCTTTTTCTGTAACTTCTAAGAAGTGAAAAATGTTGTAATAAGAGAAAGCAGATGCTAGAAGAAGCCAAACTATCGTATCTTTTTGATAAGTGCCAGCTTCTAGGGAAGAGCCATGTATCTTCAGTGTGAACAGCTCCCTGGGGAGTGGAAAGACTGTGAAGGATGAAGAAGTGAATATAAACTTAGCAACAAAACTTTCAAAGGCACTGAGATCATTACTAGGTTGATCAGTATTGGTTTGGGAGAGTTCCAGTATCTGCTTAAAACTGGTGTACCCTGCTGTGTCCCTGATACTTTATTTTTGTCGTTGGAAAGGTAAGAAAGTGTCAATAGAATGAATGCTCACACAAAACAGCACTTTCCTCCCTGTTGTTTAAAGTGAGTTTAAGGATGCCAGGGAGGGACTCTTCATGAGGGACTGTAGCACTAGGGCCAAGGGGTAATGGGTTCAAACTGAAACAGGGGAAGCTTAGGTTAGATATAAGGAAGAAGCTCTTCCCTGTGAGGAAAGTATTTCCCTACTCCTGGTTTTAATGGTCCTCTGTTAAGTCAGACCAGTGGGCATGTTGACGTTCCCATACAGCTATAGGTCTGACATTACCTCACCAATGCACAGACCAGTTCCATTTTAGCAGCCTTCCAGTACCTAAAGGGTGCAACAGGAAATCTGGAAAGGGACTTTCTACAAGGGCCTATAATAACAGGACAAGGGGTAATGGCTTTAAGATAAAAGAAGGGAGATTTGCATTAGGTACCAGGAAGAATTTCTTCCCTATGAAGGGTGGTGAGGCACTGGCACAGGTTGCCCAGAGAACCTGTGGCTCCCCCAACCCTGGTAGTGCTCAAGGCCAGGTTGGACAGGGCTTTAGGCCGCCTGGTCTAGTGGAAGGTGTCTCTGTGCATGGCTGGGGGTTGGCACTAGATGAGTTTTAGGGTCCCTTCCAATTCAAAACAGTCGGTGATTCTGATTTTCTTCCACACCAATTCTGCACCTTGTCCAGCTCATTTGGAAGGGGTCTGTGGCCTATTTGGGCATTGAAAACACTGGAGCTGGTTGGCTGGGAGAGCGGGGGAAGGAGGTGAAGAAAATGGCAGCTCTTTTTACGTACAGTGTGACTGTATGAACCCCATGTCAGATCTGCCAGTCGGAGCACTCAGAAAGTTTCCTGGCACTTTGCCTTTCCTGTGGACAGAAGTGGACCTTCTGAGTCTTTGTTTTGCGAAGGAACAGTCTACGTAGAGGCTGTTTTCTCTCATCCTGCTCCCCCACTTTGAAATAAAACGGTTGTTTATGCCTGGCAGATTTCTTTTTTGTCTTTGGTACAGAATACTTGCAAACCTGCAGTGAAATAATTAGTCTGGGTCATTTGTTTAGAGCCTTTGTTTTTTATTGTGCCAATTAACAGCAGTTTTTGGTGAGGTGTAGCTGAAACAGCAACAGTTCTTTGCCCTGCCAGTAGTGCTTGTAATACACATGGTGCTCCTCAGCTAATGTAGCTCCAAACAGCAGGTCCTAAGCTAATCTCAGGTACAAGTTTCAAAAAAACAGTGTGATTTGCTATGGAAGATATTCAGCAAACCCCCTTATGTTCTTGCAAGTTTAGTGCAGTATGGGATAACTTTACCAGGTGTCTTTTATATATTGGTAGTAAATCTGTCAGTTTTTTGAACTCTGAGAACTAGAGATAAGCCTTGAGTCCTACTAAGCAATTAATTTAAATGAATTCTACATTTCTGTTTTTAAATAGGTAACATAAGACTTGAATGTTTTGGAAAAAGTGAGCAGACTTTCCAGAAGTATTATCTTTTTAATTAAAAATAAAGGTATGGAGGCAAGATAAATGCAATCACTCTGAGCAGCGCTTGTTTCTGTATCTCCCCTAAGTAGGTTATGTTTGCTGTTCCTTATTAGTTTTGAAGCTCCAGGTGACTGGATCCTGCTGTCTTTCATAATAGTCTTCCTTGGTTTGTTTTGCAGAAGATGATTAAATCAGACAGGGCTGTACACTGAGTGAACAGTGACAATGTAATTTTCTTACATATTATAAACTAGGTCAAGGGATGAAACAGAAAAGTACATGTAATGGAAATTTCTTTTTTAAAAAAGCTATGCAACAAGTACAAGAAATAATAAACCAGGTCTGGAGCATTATACTTATGTGACCATTACTTTTCGATGAAAACATTAATTTCTTTTCTAGAGAAACATCTTTGCGTTCAGAGACTGGATCCATTTCCACTACTTGAGGCATAGTTTAAGCTTCATCTTCAGCATTTCAGTTGTGCTCATGTCTAGCTCTTTAGGGTTTGATGGGAGGTTAGAGAGCTATGTCAGTGGTATCCCATTAAAATAAAGAGCACTAAGTTATCCCTTGCATGGTTAACCTTTTTTTGTTTATATTAAATGACTTTTTTTTATAAGCTGGCATAGGTATTTCCATCTCTGCCTTTTTAAAATGACTTTTCAGATACAGGCCAGATTTAAAAACAACATAATAAACTGGTAAAAGATGAACTTTTGAATTTCAAATTCTTAACACTAAACCAAGTATGAGAAATAAAGTTATTGTGCATTTAGATTTCCAAGTGGCTCAGTGAAAGTTTTTGACTCTGTTTTAAGAAAAGATTTCTTTTTTTTTTTTCCTCTGAAAATTTCCCAGCAATATTGTGGTTTCCAATTTGTGTCTGCTTATTGGTGGTGGTACAAGTGCTTTATTTGGTCTAATTA